GTGTATATGATGTTTATGCCAATTGGTGTTCATGCGGTAACTATCCCTGAATACTTATCTTTCTTAGAATCTCATCAAGACCCGGAACCCGGCCTTTATGGCCCCCAAGGTTCCGCCCCCCCCTGATACCAGGGCCAGGTGGCAGCTCCGGAGGAGCCGCTGGGGCCAGTGGGCTGGACTAACATAATGCGTATGTTATAAGAGTGAAAGGAGGGTCCAAAGGACCAGAGTAGAAGGGATCACAGGTAATGGGGGGAGATAGCAGAAAAAGAACTATTTGAGGAAGACTAGCCAATTAGGAAGATCAGGAGGCAATGTCCAAAAGGGGTGAAACCCATTCCGAATGATAAATCACAAGCAGTATAGCCAATGAATTGAAATATCTTAGTAGTTGGTTTAAAGGAAATCGAAATAGATAACTCTCTGAGTAGTGAAGAGCGAAAAGATAAAGGCCTGCCCTAAGAGCATAGGAATATCAATCCACTCAAGGGCTCAAATAAGTCAATGTGGCAAAGGCCAAGGCTGAGTTCAACTGATTGGCGATAGCGTAAAGTACCGAGAGGGAATGTTGAATCAAGAACCCAATAGGGAGTGAAATAGAGCCTGAAACAGATAGTTCAACGGTTGAAAGCCTGATTTCAGGTGATCAATTACTTTTTGCATCACGGGTGAATAGCTTGCCCGGGATAACAGTGATGTTATTCGAAACCCCCCCCCTCAGGGGGGTCGAACTGGCTCATGACCTTTAAGGTCGGTGGAGACACCCCAGAGGCCGCCCAGCCAAGGCTGGGCCGGGGTGTGTCTGCTAACGGTGAACCCTAAAAGCATTTTTGTGCTCAAGGGAATACCGTGGGAAGCTGTCTATCGTAGTAATAGCTCGGACATCCGAGCCCCCTGACCCCAATCCCCTCATGGGGGTTGGTCAGGCTTTAGATTAGCCCTGTAACGACTGGTTTGGAAACAAGCCGACTTGAATCTGAAATGGTTTGGGTAACACGCCAGCACTCATAGATTACAACAAATTATGACTTGATGGCCCTGGCCAGCCCCAGCAGGGGCTGGCACCCCTGGCCCTACGGGCCAGGGGGCCGGGCCACATTCCGTGTCTAAGATTTGTATGAGTTGAATGTATAGTCTAGCCCGCTAGGAAACTAGTGGATAATCTGCAGCAAGTATATTTATTGGGTAAGGTGAACAACCGAGTGAAAACAGTAGAATCCAATAGATATGACCCGAAACAAGGTGAGCCTGTCATTTTTAAGTGTAATAGACTGAACCGGTGAATGTAACAATATTCTCGGATAAAGAATGACAAGAGGATAAATTCCTAACGAACTTTGCGATAACTGGTTAACCACGAAAACTATGGTAGTAGTCTTATCATTCCATTTTGACTCTCTGACGTACAGCACCGGTTTGATCCTGATCTAGGAATGTTCAGAGGTGACCCCTATGGCTCTGCCACCGGGGTTGCACAGTTTAAATGATAAGTCAGGCCATTGAGGCTAAGCTCGATGGTCAAGAGAGAAACAACTCTATCTCTAGGCTAAAGTTCCCCAATGGAGAAGATGCGGCTTTGCCGCATCTTCGGTTAAGTGAATAAAAGACAATTAACTGGTGGAGGCCCAGCTGGGTCTCCCACCCGACCCCCTTGGGGTCGGTATGAGAAACTTCCTAATGTGAGCTTGGAAGCAGCTATCCTGACGAGAGTGGGTAACAACCCAAGGAAGAAGACAACCCCTTTCGGGGGGCGTCCCAGTGTGATTGTCGCTAATTTTCGGATCTAGATATCCTACTTTAGCCAGAGGATAGAACAACCCCCTTTGGGGGGTTGCTTCTATCGGTAGTGGTTCAAATAATCAAAGACCCTTTATGGGGTGTGGTTATTTAGATAATGCTGACATGAGTAACGTAAAAATGTGGTCCAAATCCACATGGCCGAAAGTTTAAGGTTTTCAGCGTAAAGCTTAGGTACGTAAGAGTAAATTGGTCTCTAACGAGCATTTAGCTCGGATGAATTCTAGACCAGAAAGATGACCTGCACCCCTTGAAAAAGGGGGGTGGTTGTTTTTTTGGGTAACAGGAAATTCTAAGACCATACTGATAACCGACTCTGGTAAACAGCCGTGTAATACGGTCAGGCCTGCAGATAACCATTTAGAAGGAACTCGGCAAAATAGGTGTGCGACTGTGACCTCGAACACAAGACTTAGCAAACTGACTCAGGATATATTAGGTCTGTCATCTGCCCGGTGCTAGTAGGTGAAAGCAAAGACCCCCAACGGGGTCTTGTATAAACTCTAGTAAACGGCCGCTGTAACTCTAACGGTGCTAAGGTAGCGAAATTCCTCGACATTTAATTGATGCCCCGCATGAATGATGGCACGACATACCAACTGTCTCCTAAATGGACTGCGTGAAATTAGAATGCCAGTGAAGATCCTGGCAACTCTCAACTAGACGAGAAGACCCTTCGATGCTTTACTACAAGCAGTGGAGCAAACCCCCAACCAATTGGTTGGGGGTGGGCAACCTCTGCCGGGTAGTTTGTCTGGGGCGGAAGCCTACTAAAGAGTAACGTAGGTCTACAAAGGTGTGGGGGGTCCTTAGACCCCATAGATCGCAATGGATAATTACCACACTTGATGGATAGATTTACAGATCTGTCCAAGATCATGAGTGATGATCTCCTCATGGTCGGTCATAGTGATCCGGATGATGTATTATATCATCCGCTCAAGGAATCAAAGTAACTCAAGGGATAACAGGCTGGTCGTGATTCGGAGTCCTTATCCGAGTCGCGCTTCGGCACCTCGATGTCGGCTCTTCCTATCCTCGGGTTGCAAAAGACCCGAAGGGTGTGGCTGTTCTCCACATAAAAGGGAACGTGAGCTGGGTTCAACTTAGGACCCAGAATTTAAAACCAAGTTAAATGCAAGAACGATCTTTGAGCCCTGACCCCGGCCCCCCCCCCAAAAAGGGGGGGCAGAAACCTTTATGGTTCCTTCAGGGGGATTGAATTTGCAACGGGTGCCCGTAGGGTAACTCGTTCAACGACTAGTCAACTTCAAATTGACATAACCTTGGCACCTTGGCGGCGGCTCTGCCGCTGATTGGCCCTTGATGGCCCCAGAGGTGATGGCATAGTCTGAGCAGGATCGTAAGACCCTGACCACCCCCGACCCGGCCCTCCCAAAAAGGGGGCAAAGGGTTTGGTGGCTGGACCCCCTGTAGGGGGGGGTAACATACTGCATACCGTAGTGATACAGGTAGGATTCTATCTATTGAGAGGAAAGTAGAATAAGGATATTTGCCCCTAGTACGAGAGGACTGGGTTAAGAGAACCAATGGTGTAAGATATCACAGCCACATCCTATGGACGTGTTGGGGTATTTTAATAGCTACGTTCTTTAACGAGAACTCCTGAAACCATCTGAAGGAAGAAACCGAATCCGATATTTTGATCTACTATTTATGATGCTGGGATAACCCCAGTTGATGAGGGTCCCCTATAGGCCCCTCTTTTAAGGTACCACACCCTTTTGGGTGCTTACCTATTTCATTGACATAGCTATCTCCCTCTGATCCCCCCCCTTTCCACCAGGCGCGGACCGCGCGACGGGGCCAGCGGCTATGCCGCCCTACCTCACCCCCACCCAGGGGCGCCCCCTTGGGGCTTGTTGGCCCCCCTCAAGGGGGGCCGGTTCTGGCAGATCTTTTTCATTTTGAGATGACCGCACGTCAAGTACAAGTAGGCGGCTTCGCCGCTGCTGCACGTCAAGCACATCCCTACCATTTAGTCGATGTATCTCCCTGGCCATTATTAATGTCACTGGCTGTTTAGAGTGGGGCTTAGGGTTTAGTAAGTTGGTTAACCCAAGCTAGTTCTGCTTTAACTTCTATTTTACCTCCTTTCGTAGTGATGATTTAGATCGCTATGTTCTGGTGGCGTGACGTTATTCGTGAAGCATTTGGTGGTTTTCACACCACTGTAGTACAAAAAGGTATTTTAATTGGATTCTAGCTATTCTTAGCTTCTGAAATCATGCTATTTGCTTCATTTTTCTGGGCTATGTTCCACTCTAGCTTATCTCCTACTGTTGAACTAGGGGCTACCTGGCCTCCGATTGGTATTCATGCCGTGAACCCATGGGGTATTCCCCTATTAGGTTCCTGTGTTTTACTAGCTTCTGGTTTTGTTTTAACTATTGGTCACCATGCTCTAGTAGAAGGTAACAAAGATTTAACCATTGCCAGTTTAGTTTTTACAGTATTATTAGGAGCCTTTTTCCTCTTCTTACAATATACTGAGTATTTCTATGGTGAATTCACTATTGCTGATTCCGTTTTCGGTAGTGTGTTCTACTGTACTACGGGGTTACATGCAATCCACGTCATTATTGGAGTATTATTCCTTACCCTTTGTTTAATCCGTACTATTACTGATGCATACACCATTGAACACCATGTCTCTTTCTTATTTGCTGTTTATTATTGGCATCTCAACGGGATGCTTCCTATGTTAAATTAAATGCTGGAACACCCTGGGTTGGGGTTGATCAGCAGCTGGTGGCCCTGTAGGGCCCCTTGTTCAGAGACTACACATTTAAAGTGAATGGCTCTGCCACACTAAGAGATAGTCCAAAATCGGTTAAGCGCAATAACTGCCCCCTGGAATTACAGGCCCTATGGGCCTTGGTGGTCCTTTGGACCGCACCGGGTACCCCCCCCCCTGAGTGCTGTAACTAAAAAGAACAGGCTGGCATAGACCATATTTGGCGGGTCTTGACCCTGGGGTGGAGCCGCTTACCTGAAATTAGTGTTGATGTTGTTTGGTTATTAGTTTTTATCGTCTATTATTATTGGGGAGGAGCTTAAGTATTTTCTAGATGAATCCGAGCCCTTTGCCCCAGGCCCCCCAAAAGGGGGCGGGAACCTGGCCCCCTGGAATCAGGGGGGGGGGCGGAACCTTGGGGGGTTCCGGGTTCCTGGGACCAGGGTCTGACGTAGCTCAATTAGGTAGAGCATCTGACTTTTAATCAGAGGGTCGCAGGTTCGATTCCTGTCGTCGCTAATAAAAGGACCCCCAGCTAGTGGGGGGCTGCCAGCCCGGGTAGTCTTTTTTCCCCTCCCCCGGCCCCCCCCTCAGGGGGGGGCTGCCAGCCCCGGATGGGGCTGGCCAGGGGGGGCAGAACCTTGGGGCCAGAAGGCCCCTGCCCCCGTAAGGGGGCCTGGTTCCATGGATAGGTAGACCTTCTTGCCCGCCACGCTTTTGCATTCGGGGTTTAGCACTATCACAATTTTTTTATTTCTTTTTCTGGTCTGGGTCCAAAGGACCTTGATTGTTTGGCGCCTTATACGCTTCTTTTCCCTAATGATGCGGATATCGGGGTTTTACCCTGGTCCGGCGTCAGAGACGCAGGGGATAAGTTTATTCTGGTTTGGGTTCAACCTGCTCTGGAATTGCTCAATCAACTTCAATGCTTATGACCTCAGGCCCTGCCGAAAGTTGGGCTGGTAGCCCCGACCAGCCTGGTACCAGGCTGGTTGGGGCAGTCCCAGTAACACTGGGACCGCCCCTTTGGTTGCTTGCCAATGGGTTGCCAATGGGTTCTTGCTATACTGGTTGTCATTCTCTCAATCACTCTACGTCTTCTCAAAATGCTTACTCGCTTATATAAATTTATTTACATTGAGGACTTAATTGAGTTTATGGAAACTGATTTGTTCCCTGACCGTCCTAACGTACTTGATATGTATGACCATTATGTCGAACGTGATGCCATGCCTCCGATTCATTCAGTCCAGTTAAAAGCGACCCTACCGTAGGTGGGGTTGCCAGCCCCAGCAAAGCGGCCCCCAAAAAGGGGGGCTGCAACCCCAGCTTTGCTGGGGTCGCTGGGGCCAGCGACCCTGAATACCCAGTGGTACAGTATTTCTCCTATTATCCGTGTTGCTGAATCTACTAGTACTGATATGATTACTCATATGATATTCAGTCATAACAATAAACTGGAAGAATACGGGATTGAAGAATTCAGTTTCTTAGCTTTAAGTGTTATTTTCTCTGATGGTAGTAAAACTAGATCCAAACTACCTGGTCCAAAGGACCACATGAGATGGTCCTTTGGACCAGGTGAAAATGCTAACATTGAAGCCGGTGATTTGGTTTATCCTAATAATATGGATTATTATTCTTGGGGTCCTAAAGCTCCATATGGTAATTACATTAAATACCCTTAGAAAGGTAGAAAACTACCCTAGAATGCTCAAAAATTTCTATTGATTTCTGTTGGAGAAGTTGACCATTATAATGGTACTACTGTAAGAATTCTTACGAAAGATCAAAAATAGTGGGGTAGCTTCTCTGACGTTGATACTACTAATGCTTTTGTCCGCCGATTTAGAGATAAATAGGCCTTCATTGAAGATGGTAAAATTGTGCGTTTTGAACGTACCTGGAACTTACCTCCATTTGCCCCTGTTAAAAAAGATACAGATGCCAACAAACCCTTCATTACTATGGATTTTGAAACATATGTTGATTCAGAGGGGCGTCATGTTCCTGCCCCCCCCCCCAGGGGGGGCAGCCAGCCCCGACCCAGCCACCAGCCTTTGGCTGGTGGCTGGGTTGGGGCCCCAGCTTTGCTGGGGCCGCCCCTAGCGGGGCTGGCCCGCATGTGGCTTTTATGATGGTACTGTTTCATTTGTCTTTTATTCTACAGATTATGAGTCTCCTACAGCCATGACTTAGGCTATGTTGACAAAATAGTTCAGATCCAAAAATGACGGTAAAGTAATATGGTCCTTTGGACCATTTAAGCGGTGATTCTACGAATCGTGTCTTTCTCCTTAACATTCTTACTACTTTGGGTGAGGTCACCCCTTTGCGTAACAGTGGTAAAATTCTAATGATCAAAATTCAGCCTCATAGTAAAAGATACACTTTCGTATTTAAAGATAGTTAGAATCTATTACCTGCTTCTCTAGCTAGTTAGAGTAAAAACTTTGAAAATTAGCGTATGTTATAATAGATCAAATTAGTAAAATAGTGACCTGGTATCAGGATAGACCGTGCCCACCCTTGGAACCATAAAGGTGTCCTTCAGGGGGGTTGGCCTACTGTAGAGCTCAACAAGGGAAAATGATCCCAAAGTCAAAGACCAGTGTATGATCATGGCTCATTTCGAACGCTTGTCATTAGCATAACACATGCTGGTAGATAGAAGACAGGAGTTTTCTTTGCAGAAAGGTGAGTATGGGGTCAACCTACCCTTGATGTGCCCCCGTAGGGGCAGCGTAGGATGGTTCACCCTGAGGATTAGGTAGATGATTTAGGTCAAAGTAAGTCATGCCAATGATCCTTAGCAGCGAAAGCGCGCCACAGAGGGTATGAATAAAGACCCTTCCCTTGGCAGCAGTGAGGAATATTGGGCAATGGGCGAAAGCTTGACCCAGCTAATGACAGGGGCCCGTTGGGTCCCCCGGCCAGATTGATAGAATGAATTCAACTGGCTTCCCTATCCCGGCCAAACCTGTGCCAGCAGCCGCGGTAATACAGGTGGGATTGCGTTGAAAACTAATAGGCATTAAGTGTGATAAGGTGGCAAACCCCTATGCACCCCTCTGAAAGGGGGGGTGGGTGGTGGTGGCTAGAGTTTGAAAAAGAGAGTTAGAGGAATAACCTCTGGAAGGATGAAATCTATAGATAGTGGTTGGAACATCAGCAGCGACAGCATCACTCTATTTTCTAACTGACACTGATTCACTAAAGTCTGGGTAGCAAAACGGATTAGAGACCCGAGTAGTCCAGACCCTGAATACTGAATGTGAAATTTGAATGAATACATTCCGCCTCCATAGTACTATGGCAACGTAGAAATGGAATTGATTTGGCGGGTCTTGACCCCAGCAGTGGAGCATGTGGTTTAATTGGAGGGTACGCCCTGAATCTTACCTTCTCTTCTTTGGTGTTGCATGGCTGTTGTAAGCTGGTTCAGTGATGATTCGAGCCCTTTGGGCTTCACCAGCGTCAAGTGCCTTTGGCTGCACCTCACTTCAAGCACTCACGGCCCAACTGAGAAGGGCTACACATATGCTACAAAGGTAACTATCAGACTTCTGTAACCGTTATCCCAGTTCAGACACTAAGCTGGAATTCGCTTAGTCGAAGTTGGAATTGCTAGTAATCGCAGTTCATCATCCTGCGGTGAATCACTTTCTCGAGATTGTACAAACCGCCCGTCAACACGTCCTAGATCAATAGGTTATTCCTTCGCATGATGTGTCACCCCCTCCTTTGTGGGGGGCACCACCCCCTTTCAAGGGGTTGGTTTTGTCTGATTGCTAAGGGTGATTAGATTGTTTGAGGATGTGTAAGTCGTAACAAGGTGGCCCTACTGGAAAGTGGGGCTTAATTCTTTCGTGTCTGCCCTTTGGGCTCTTTTGTCAACATGTACTACATTTTTCAGTTGCAACCCCGACCCAGCGTCTCTGACGCCAGTTAGGGTCCCACCCATCACCCCCCCCTCCCCTCAGCCCCCGGTGGCTATGCCACTGTGGGGGGTGCCATTGTCCTCTGGATGTGGTCGAAGGAAGGGATGTTGGCTGCCCCTACGGGGCCGCTACCTTGGGGTTCCTGGGTGTAGTTTAATTGGTAAAACACCAGCTTGTCGAGCTGGCAGCTGTGGGTTCAAGTCCCATCACCCTCATACCTGGGTGCCCACGCAATGGCCACGTCCAAAGGACGTGAGGCGCCCCTTCTGCTTTCTCATGGTGTGCCCGAATTGGCCAAGGAACTGACTGTAAATCAGTGGATTACTCCAATGTAGGTTCGAGTCCTACCGCCCTCATGTTAGACCCCCCGGCCCCCTCAAGGGGGGCTGCCAGCCCCGACTGGGGCTGGCCAAGGGGGGGGTCAACTTGGTCATATTGACCGTACCCAGGTTGGGTGTAGCCAAATCGGTAAGGCAATGGTTTTTGGTACCATGATGTGTAGGTTCGAGTCCTGCCACCCCTATCTGGGCAACCCCCTTTTCCCCCTTCTCTTGGCGTAGTTTAATGGTTAGAATTCTGGTTTTGGGAACCAGCGATATAGGTTCGATTCCTGTCGCCCTGAGGGTCCCCCTCCGGCCAACCACCCTCTCACGTCCTATGGACGCGGGGTTGGCCCCCTTTGTTCCACCAGGAGTTTTCAATTTCAAGGTCTATGGCCTTTCTATTAGCCTCAGTAGTATAGCTAGCTTTAGTTTCCATTTTATATTAGGTCAGTTTTTGGGCAAGTGCAACAAATAGAACTATTGAAAAATAGAGTGCTTATGAATGTGGATTAGAACCTATTGGTGATGCTAGATCCAAATTTGATATTTAGTACTATGTTATTGGTATTTTGTATTTAATTTTTGACTTAGAAATCATTTTCCTATTTCCTTTAGCTACTGTTTTATTTAGTTAGGGTTCTTTACTAGCTTTTGGTACCGTTCTTATTTTCCTTATTATCCTCACTATTGGTTTTATCTATGAATATTATCATGGTGCTCTTGAAATCGTTTGAGGTCCACCCTGGTCCGGCGTCAGAGACGCAGGGGGCGGGCAGCCCCGACCAGCCTGGTACCAGGCTGGTTGCGCTGCCAACGGGTCCTGTGGTTGTCCACCGGTATTGTAATGGTAGCATCCTAGGCTCATGACCTGGTAGTGTAGGTTCGAATCCTACCCGGGCTTTTCCCCTCTGCACCCAGCGGGTCAACATGACCGCCGGCTGCAGGGGCTGTCAGGTAAGAGATCGAAGATGTGGCCGACCCCCTGCGTCTACGACGCCAGGTTCCGCCCCCCCCCTGATTCCAGGGGGGGGGCCAGGTTCCTGCCTCATTTTGGGGCTCCATCGAGTAAAACATTTCACAACCTATTGGTTTATGTATCTTGCTATTTTAGTACTACCTTTATTAGGTGGTTTGGTAGCTGTTAATCGTAAAGGTGGTTAGCTATATGGTCCTGTACTAAGTGTTATTGCTATTGTGACCACAGCCATTCTTTCAACAATTGCCTTATTTGAAGTAGGTTTAAGTGGATCTCCAG